GCTTAAAAGCCACTGAATAGCCAGGCTTACAGATGTAATAAATGTGTGGAAGGCTGATCTCTTGTCTGTTCTTTCCCATTACAGGACAAAAGCATTCGAGTGTGGCGGATGAATAAAGATGGAAGGGTGGTCTGTGTGGCCCAAGGATTGGGTCATGCTCATGGGGTAGGCGCTGTCTCTTGCTCAAGGTAATAAAAGTTAAACAAAGTTTTACCTTTGCAAGCATGAGTCACGGCTGCTTTGCTGGTCCTCAGTGAATGTTTTGGTGAACGTCTGTTTCTGAATAACATTGTTTGTCATGTTTGAATCCAGCTTGTCACAGTGCTCTGAATTGAAGGAAGAATGTTTGTGGTGTTCTTTCTAGAATGCACATTTGTCCATAAGCTGTGAAGCTTGCATTTCTTTGTCAGTCTACCTTCTGTTTGGCTTAAAGAGCAGCAGCTGCTTAATTTGCCAGATAATGCTCAAGTAATTTGGAGAGACTGACTGGGGAATGGAGGGAGTATTCCTATGAAGGTTCTTGCTTAAATAGTGTATCTGTTTATGAGCTCTTCTACTCTGTTTGTGCTGCCTAGCAGTCTGGAAGCCCAGCTTGTTCAAAAGTTGCCATATACCTTAGTGTGCAGATGAAGAAAGCTAGTAGTGTTCTTGGCTAACAGCTGAATAGACGGAGGTTATCCCAGGGACTTAAGTAAAATGAAAGACAACTTTCAAAAGCACTCACGCTCTGTTTAATGTCACAGCAGAGTGACTGTGAATTCTGACTGGGGAGAAGGCCTTTTCTCAGTGCGGTGAAAACCACTCTTCTGCTTTCTTGTGCTTGGCATGCTTTTTTTTCCTCTCCTTTCAGGTTGAAAGAAAGCTTTATAGTGACAAGCAGCCAGGACTGCACAATAAAAGTGTGGAATATCCCAGAATCTCTCACTTCCAAAGCAAAAGCAGCCTTGATCTCCAGTCCAGAAACACTTCATGCACAAGTGACTGAGAGAGGTCATGACAAGGTAAAGTTCCACCTGATGCGAGAGCATATTTTTAGTACTGAAGTGCTCTCCTGTTTTATACCCTGCAATTCCTAGCTGTCTGACAGCAAAAGCAGACTCAAACTGCTTTGCTCTCTATTTCTGTGACTTTTCCAGGACATAAACAGCGTGGCAGTTTCTCCAAATGATAAGCTCATTGCCACGGGCTCACAGGATCGGCTGGCCAAGCTGTGGTCCTGTTCTGATTGCTCTTTGCTGGGTGTCTTCACTGGACATAAGCGTGGAATCTGGTGTGTGCAATTCTCTCCAGTGGATCAGATTTTGGCCACCTCTTCAGCAGATGGAACCCTAAAGCTTTGGGGTCTTCAGGACTTCAGTTGTTTGAAGGTAATGACAGCTCAGATTGCTCCTTGCTCTAGGCAACTTTCACATGTTACAGAGATTGATTTATTTTATATATATATATATATTTTTAATTTACCTATCTCGGCTTTGATAGTAAGTATTATTCCCTTGAAAGAGGATCTTCTTTGAGAACCTGGCAACAGCTCTAATACTTTAAAGCTTCTTTCTTGTTTTCCAGACCTTTGAAGGTCATGATGCCTCTGTACTGAAAATCATTTTTGTAAGCCGAGGAACACAGCTGCTCAGTGGGTAAGTGCCTACACAAGGAGCCAGAATTAATCAGAAAACATAGCTGGTATGAGCAGAAAGATTGTGCAGTGGATTTAGTTTTAGAAAGACTGATAGAAGGGTGCCATGTTTATGCCATGTGGCAGAGACGTGGCTTGTTTTCCTCTCCAGTTACACCGTGTTTCCAGTGAGTTCCACTGACATTGCTGGGTTAGTGACATACACCACAAGGCAGAGCTAAGGATGCATTTCACCCTACTGCTTTTGGTAATGCAAGAGCAGCCAAGGCTAGACTCTTACTGTTAGCTGCAGAGGGTTTGTTCTCCAGCTAGAAGCAGGGAAGAATGCAGTTTATGTCCTGAACTGCCCTTTCTTACAGAAAGGCTGAAATGTAACAGACCAGAAATGCCAACAGAGCATATGAAGTAGTGTAGGTAATAGGGCATTCCAAGATGGAATCATTTGAGGGGATGCCAGAACTACCAGGAACAAGTTGAAATTCTTTAGATCTCTCTCAAGATGTTTGGTTAATTCTGCTCATGTTTGGTAAGTGTTGGAATGAGTTTATTCAATATTTTGGGTGGGATAGAGCAAGAATGGTCTATCCAGTGATTCTCTGAGATTGTGTTTTTGTTTTTTTTCTTCTTCCAAAAGTGGTTCTGATGGTCTCTTAAAACTCTGGACAATTAAAACGAATGAGTGTGTAAAAACATTAGATGGCCATGAAGATAAAATTTGGGGTCTTCACTCTAACAAGCAAGACGACATGGTTGTGACAGCATCCAGCGACTCCTCCATCACACTATGGAAGGTACAGTGCAGGGTCTTTGTGTCTCTTCTCTGGGTTAGTGGTCAGAATGCATTTGCAGCATTCAGTGTCTCAGTGATTTGTTCCTCACTGTTCCAGCATGATACGTGTTGTTCTCATCTTATGCACCTTGCAGTTACATCATGAAGATGTATCTTGGATATTTTTTATTTTATCTGGTTTGGGTTTTTTTGGCCATATTGAATTTTTCCTGTTGATGCTTTAAAAGTAACAGGAGTTGGTCTTTAAGTGGCCTTCCCAGCACTGGTCTTCTAGAGAGAGCTTGGAGGGAATTGTGAGTTGCTGGATTTAAAATGTAAATGACTTGACCTGGAGATCTTGCTGCAGAGATGATTTTCTCATCACTTAGTGACTCTTTCATCTGAGTTAAAGCAAGGTTTGACAAAGTTATATCCTGGTTTTATAGGATGTCACTGAAATTGAACAGGAAGAGGCACAAGCTAAACGGGAGGAGCAGATTATGAAGTAAGTTGATTCTGGGTAGTAGTGGGCCATGAAAGGTGTGTTATGTCTGGTTAAACTCTCCACACTTAGAGCCATCCAACTCCCCCGAATTTGAAGGCTGTCCTGTAGAGATTCAAATGCTGCCATGGCACCAGTAGGCTTTTCTGCTTCGTAGATGTTTAATTCCTGCAAATCCTTGCTATAATATTGTCAGCTTGATAATGGGTTGGTTTCATGCTTGTGCTACTAAGATAAGGCATGTCAAACCACTGAAACCTACTTTCATTTTGTCCCGCTTCAGTCAGCATTGAGTAATTCAAGAATCTCTTGAACGTGCCTAGGGTAATTATCTCCACAATGAGGGCACTGAACCATTCACTGGCATGCACTATTAACTTCATGGCATTAAACCTCTGCACACCATTACTGCCAAATCAGCTACTTTCTGTACTGAATGCTGTGCCATCAACCACATACTTGTCTCGTACTCCTGACTGATTTGCTTTCCAGAGAACAAGAGCTTTCTAACCTGCTTCATGAGAAAAGATACCTCAAAGCATTAGGTTTGGCAATCTCTCTGGATCGTCCACACACAGTGTTGATGGTCGTTAAGGGTGAGTTCACATTGTACTCTGAAGATTTTTTTTCTGCCCTCTCTGCTTTCCATCTCTTCCAAATAGACACTGACTGAAGTCAGACACAGACTACAGTTTGAAATTTTTAATAAACTAAAATTAAAGTAAATTATTAAAGTCAAATGATCTGAAAGCCTCTATTTTACCGTTTTCCACTAACTCCTAAAGGTTTGGAACTGTCACAAGGAATGTTATTTTCCACAGAATCCGCGGTGTAGGAGGAAGGCATGGGTCTTGTTCTTGAAAGTTTTTTTTTTTAATTTCCCTAATCCTTAATTTCTTCTTTTTAGCCATCCTCAAGGAGAGTGATGGAAGAAAGCGCTTGGAAGAGAACATTGCTCGGTTGCGGAAGGATCAGAAAGGTTTGTTACTGCATGGTTTTAGAGCTCAAACCTTTCAGATTTGGGGCTTATTTTCTGAAGTGAAATTAAAGCTGATCTCTGAGACAGAGGAGATGTTTTCTTGCACAGGCAGTATGCACAGATGTCCTTCTTTCCCTAGAGGCAGTGTTAACATTCTTGGTGACGTGGAATACAAACTCTCGAAACTGCCATGAGGCTCAAGCTGTCATTGAAACCCTCCTGAAGCATGAAGCACCAGACAACCTCCTGCAGTACTCGGGCATTAAATCTGCTGTGGAGTCCCTGCTGCCTTACACCGGTGAGCGGTGCTGCAGGAACAGTTGGGCAGTGGGCAGGTTAATCCAGTCTAGAGCTGTTGGGAGGTGCCTGCAATGATGTGCCGTGGAACTTGATTGTATCCAATCTCAGCTGCCCTCTGCTCATGTGAGATCTGAACTCTCTCCCTGTTTTGTGCTCTGGGTGCACAGAGAGGTTGTGGATCTTCCATCCCTGGAAGGATTCGGGGCCAGGTTGGATGGGGCTTTGAGGACTGGTCTAGGGGAAGGTGTCCCTGCCTGTGGCAGTGCTGTTGGAAGTAAATGAGCTCTGAAGTCCCTTCCAACTCACATCATTCTAAGATCCTGGTGTTGTGTGACGTAGTGCCTTGTGACATCTCTTTATTGGCTTGGACAGAGAGTTTTTCCACAGTTTGTGCCTCTGTGAGGTCTCCTCTTAAGTTGTGAATGTTCCATCTGCTCACTTCTAAACAGAAGAGAGTTTTTTTTTTTTTCACCCATTTCTGGTAAACTTCTCCCCGTGTGATACCAACCACCAGTTTTCTTTCTTTGCAGAGCGCCACTTTCAGAGGCTGAGCCGTTTGCTGCAGGCCTCCATGTTCATTGACTTCATGTGGCAAAACATGAAGCTGTCTGATGTGTCACATCAGGAGGATGTGATTTTGTGACTCTTCCCTCACCAGCTGCTGTTTCCTGACAGGAGCCCGAACTGCTTTCCCACCAGATACAGCAACTGGAATACTCTGTATTTTATAATATCTTTTTTTTTTTTTAATTAAATTTCTAAAACAAGACCATTGTTCAGTCTTTGGGATTTAATGAAAGGAAGGATTTGTTCCTTTGGGCAAGTTGTGGCTTCCCTTTGTATTTTCACAGCCTGGATTTTGAGGCCTGGGCAGTAGGAGTGCTCAGTTTGGAGGAAAGGCAGAATCTGGCTGTGAGCGAGCTGTCTTTACAGTGATTGTAAAGGCTATGGAGTTGGGAGATACTACTGGTCACATTATATATATCCTGAAGTTTAGCTAGGAGGTGTGCATTGATCAGTGTTGTCTAAGCACTGAATATTCTGTGTACCTGGGCAAAATGTAGGCTGGACTAAAGCAGGTCTGTCACCTTTCCTGCCCCAAATGCAGCACTTGACAGGCACATGGATGTGATTTTAATTCTCCAACAAGCAAGTATTTGGAGTACAGAAACTACACAGTCCTTTTAGATATTTTTATGTGTTTTATTTCAGAGACAAGTATATAAAACTTAGAACAATACAAACACCTTGCAAGTTGGCAAAACTGCCTGATTAAAAATAAAAGACAGACATACATGGAAAGCTAACTAAAATTAAAGGTAGCAATCTATATAAAGTCCTAGGTTTTCCTATCACTTTTTTCTAACTCAGTTTTAGCAGATGAATTTAGTATAGGAAGTACTGTAAATTTCAGTAACTATCAGATCCCCTCTTTTAAGTTTTGCTCGTAACTGTGAGCTCTGGCCTTGGCCACCCTACCCAGCCAGCAAACAAACTGTACTACAGGCATTTTTATCTCTATGCCTGCAGAATGTCATTAAGGGAAGGTAAGAGATGAAATTCCTAGGTACTACCAATGTTTTTTGTCCTCAGCCATTCAGAGGGTCCAGTCAATTCACACATACTTTTGCCTGGCCAGTTTTCTGCTACCTGAGTTCATGTAACCTTAAAGTAAAAAAAAAAAAAAATAGAACTTTTATCTATTCCAGGGATTCAGATAAATGCTGTTCACGTGTCTGTAGCTATAGGTGTTCACACCTCTGTTCTCCAGCATTGTCAGGTAGCCACAGTGTGAGAATTCATGCAAGAAAATTGTGACATTTTGATAAATGGTGTTGCAGGATAAATATGTGTCCAAGGGAGGGTACTGAGCCCTAATTGACCTATGTTAAACAGAAGCTGCTGGATCCTACTGCGGCTCTGTTAGTAACAGTGGTGTGCCCTGGTTAAAGCTCCCTGGCCATGGTGTGCATCCTACAGCATTAACCCAGCAAAACCATGTCAAGCTTTGAAAGCAGCAGTCCCTGCAGGGTGAGGCAGGGGCCCTAGTGAGCACTGGGCAGGGGATGCAGGGCATGGAGGGGTGGGCAGGCAGCTGACTGCTGCAGGGCCCGCTTGGTGACTGTGCTGCATCTCTGTAGGATCTCATGGGCCGAGGGACGCGTGGGCACCTTGGGGGCACCGGTGGGCATTTCTGAGTCAGCAAGGGAGTTCAGGTCAGCAGCAGATGGCTCCACAAAGCCTGAGTCGTTCCTGTCCTTGTAGGTGAGACGTGGAGATTTGCTGCTGTGCGTGGCTGAGGTTTGTCCAAGGACTGGGCTCGCTGCCTGCTCCACTTCAGGCAGAGACCTGGACAAGTCCGGCTTCCAGCTCAGCACGCTGCTGGGCTCACTGCCTGAGCTGAGCGAGGAGCTCTCAGACTCCAGGTCTGGAGTGGAGACGACCCTGGGCAGAGATTGTGATCTGTTCCTCACGGAGCTCACATCTTCATCGCTGCCGTTCCCTGAGGTGCGATCCCGCGCTGTGCTGTCTTGCAGGGGTTGGGGAGCCGGAAAGGAGGAGCAAAGGTTGGGTGTGGAGATGTGGAGCCCACTGCCCATGATGGTCTGCAGCCTGTGGTGGGGGTTCTTGTAGGCCTGGAGGCACATGGAGGGCATGTAGCCTGTGCGCCCATTGTAACTGAGGAGGAAATGGGAAAAGAAACACTGAACTGAAGGACTCTTCTGGCCTTGACAAAAGTGGGGGAGCACACAAGGCTTGTGTGCACACAGGGCATCAGGAAAGGGAAAGTATTCATCTCAAACCAGCTTTGGAGAAGTCATCCTTACCGGATGAGCCACCAGCCGTTGTCGGATCTCCTGACCACCTCCACCACCACGCCTTTGTTCAGAGAGAGCTCATCTGCTTTCTGCGACTCGTAGGCCCGCATGACAAAGTACAGGCTGCCTGCGGGGAGAAGGGAAGGCTGCATTGTCTTACGGAGGGAAAGTTGGGCAAGAACTCTGCCCAACTGCACAGCCCCAGGCCGAGGGAGACTTCAGAACCCATTTTATGAAGGATGAGCAAGGTGTGATCCTGAAAGCAGAGATGGGACAGAAGCATACTCACCCTCCTCATCTGAGCTTCCGACATCCTGGATGTCCTTGTGAACACTGATCTGTTCCAGGTACGAGGCTGGGAACCAGGCTATCTGCTTGTCTGCATTTTCCACAAGCCACCATCCTGCAACAAACAGTAGAACAAAATTTGTAAAGCCAGCAGAAAGCAGAAAGATGATCAGTAACATCCCAGTGTAGGGGCACAGGCAAGAGCCATAGGCAGATGTTCCATGGAGCAGCTCAGTTCTGGCACTTTGGCAGAGCTCTATCTAGACCAGAGTGCAGCATGCAGATGTGTTGGGCTCTGCAAAGCATGAGAAGCTTTCTGCTGGGAATAAGGTCCTAGCAGAGGTCTCAGCTCAGACCCATGCATCCCTCGATTAGAAAAGAACAGACCACTTGTTTCCTCCTAAATCCAGGTAAACACCCCATGTGTACCAATGTCACCCATGTGCTTGATGTTACAGCCTTAATATTTGCCGAGCCTTAAATTAACCTAGAAATCTTTCAGTGTTCATCCCTGAAATGGACGGATTTTAATCAAACCTACCAGTCATGTCCTTCAGTAACACTTCAACAATTTCCTTCTTAGCGACTTTGAAAGTCTTGTTCTTTGTGTCTTTGGTTTCAAAGGTTTCAATGCAGCGGTAGCTCTGAGACACCTGGGGATACGTAATGGAGAGAGGCTGCTGCTGCTGCACCTCTTTCTTCTTTTCCCCTCCAATTTCTGATGGCATGATTACAACACTGAAAAGCAAAGTTTGATGTTGGTTTACTGAAAACTCCCATGGAAGGCTGTAAAGTAGTAATTTCAATAAAATTATGGTTATTCTGAGACTAAGAGCAGCTTAGATATCAAAACAGTAGAAATTTTGGGTAGAACATCTCTGCTCTTCTGCTCCAAAGTGTAACTGGTATTTCTCTATAACAATTTTATGAAGAGATACACAAACAAAAAAATACAAATAGAATTTCACACCTGTCTTCAGGAAAGCAGGGATCGAGATCTTGAGTTTGTGCCTTGAAAAACTGAATCACATCTTCGCCCTGGGAGATTTTAGCATCCACTTTCAGCAGTTCCTGCGAGTACGTTTCCAGCAATTTCAGTCGCTCCAGGGACCTGTTTATCTTCCCGCTCTTCCTCTGTTTCCCATTTATATCTGTAAAATAACAAGAGCAAAGTTGATCCAAGACAATAGCAGACCTGGATCAGAGCAGCATCTTCTGCCTGAGCGTGGCAGTGCCCTGCTGATTGCACCCCCACCCAAAGCATATGCAGCTGCCTCTGCTTCCTTGTTTTAAAGAGCTCCTGATAAAATTTTTGCATATCTAAAATTTGTTGTAGTTCGTGTGTAAATCTCACTAAGAACCCTAAGCCAATAAAAGTGTAATATTCATCAAGTGCATTTATACCCAAACCCAGGTGTTTCTATGCTCTTTTAAGTCAGTGGTGGCTAGTGACTAAGGTTTATGTCCTCCACAACAGCTGTTCCCAATGGCTGTGTCGTGTCTGCTGATCCCTCAGGGAGTTTTCCTCCCTACCTTTAAACCTGGGAATGGTCCGGTCGGATCTCCTGAGCGATCCACTCTCAATGGGGAATTTTCTCTTCAGTTCTTTCTAAAAGTGAAACAAAGCAGTGAGTAGAGATGCTGAGCTCCTTCCTCCTTCCCCAGGATGTGGATGTTATTTCAGGGAGATATTCACTTACATGCAATCTCTTAAATTCTTCAAGTGTCCGGTAGATGAGAATGTTGTTTTGATCTGACCAGGACACGAACATCATATACTTCTGGAAAAATAGAAGAGAAAAAGAATGCATCCTTATCATCATGTTCAATACTGGATGTTTTCAAGCAATGAGCATTTGACAGGATCTGTGATTTAGTTTTCGGTTTGGGCTGCCAGACTGTCACGTAAGAGATGAAATTAAAAACTAAACCTACCAAAGTATTTCCTTAATTTTAGGGTCCCAAATGAGCATTAAAAACAAAAAGAAAGTCTGAAACAGTGAAGAGAAAAACAGCGGAGTCTCAGATAACCACTTTCTTATGAGCTGGACAATTATGAACACATCTAAGGAACCCATGTCCTAAATAATAACACTTTAATAACACTGAAGGATAATGAGCATGCATACTCCTGAAATATCTAAAAATAGATAACATTTAAGGAAAAAAAAAACCATATCAGGTTAAAATACCTTTTGCTTTCTGCATTGCATCAAGCCTACAGCCTTCACATCCACTGGGAACCGGCTCATCTTTCCACACTGCCTGTCCTGCAGCTGCAGGCTGAGCAGGGCACGGCCTCCTGCAGTTTAAATACACCGTGCTGGAGGGAGGGCACCAGCGCTTTGGGCCACACTCCTTCACTGCTTCCTCCTCCGCCCAGCAGCTTGAGGAAAAACTCTGTCATTTTGCAATTATCACATGCCTTTTCTCTGCTCCTCTGTCTTTAATGTGCAAATACTGAGCACAGACGGTGGGGCATAGTTCAGGGAGCTGGAGAAAAGCGCCTTATCTTATCGCGTGCTTTAGAGAATGCTGCCAGTAAACGGTCCTCCCTGCTGCCAGGCAGGTTTGTCATCCCTAGGTACATCATTTCTGGGTTTCTATCATCCTTGGGTTTCTATTGTCACTGGGTTCATCATCCCCTGGTGTTAGCAGAGCTCTCTGGGCAGCAGAAGCAGCTGCTCTCAGACAGCACACTGCATTTCCTTCAATGGATGCATTTATGGCTCTGCTGCACCAACACTCTTATGGGAGCCACCTGTAGCCATAACAGCTTAGGCTGCAATCACAGCAGTCTCCAGAGCTGATCTCAAACATGGTTGTAAAGCACAAATCAGGCAGGATTTCATGTGCATGCCAGCTGCCACAAATCTCTCTTCTTCACTAGTTATTCCTACCTATTTAATAAAAGGTGCTTAACTTCAAAAGGAGCCCTGGTAGCCCTATCCACACCTGTGTGCTCTCAGAAAGAAATGGGAGACATTGATGCTAACACTGCCACAGCAAAGTATGAAAGAGTCCCAGGGGCATAACTGAAGAAATTCCAAAGATTTTCATGTGTAAATATGCACCTAAAGCACCCTGAGGTCCTGCCTATGGATCAGCAATGGCAGCCAGCACCATGCAGCACAGCCTGCCTGGTGGGAAAAGCTGAGCAAGGAGATGGATTTGCTTCATTGCAGCAATACGGCTCCTTGCTGCCCTCAGGCACTGCCTGGTGGGTAATTACAGCCCTGGAAGGCCGTCCTCTCACTGACCTGAGGCTGTGCATGCCTCAGGTTATAGCTTGGTCTAGGGGCATCTGTGTGATCTGGGCGCTTGCCCTGCCTGCTCTCCCTTCTTTGATGAAGCCTGAATTGAATCATTATCATTATTGGAGCCCAAATAGAGAAGTTCAGCCCTGCCTTCCCTTCCATTTTCTAATTACACTGGGCTTCTTAAATCCCTTAGCAACAGGTGCAGAGTACCTTTCATCTATTAAAAAAAAAAAACACAAACATTAAAAAAAAAAAAACATAAAAAACCACAATCAACTGACACAGAATCCCATTGGGAAGTCAGACAAAATTACACTAAAAAAAAATACACTAATTAGGGCTTCGTTTTCATGAAAACACATGAGGCCGCCCCTGCCCTGCAGGGAGGCAGCTGCTGGGGACAAAGGAGGTGTGTTGGTGAAGTCTGATCTATTGCTGCTGGACCCCTGTTCTCCTTTGTTAAGGAAAAGTTGTACAGCGAGCACTTCAGTCCCATGCACGCATCTGGTGGGAAAACCCCTTCCCTGCCTTCTCTGGACACTCCCTGGCTGACAGGGTGACATAGATACAAGGCAGACTTGTTGCTCCAGGGTCAGATCCTCCATCTCTGCTTGCAGCTGGTCAGCAAAGTCACATGCTGTTAAACCTGGCTGGCTTTTGTGGCGAGAGAAGGAGATCTCTGTATCCAGAGGGATTATTCTTTATGACTGTTAGCATTTGCAGGCTACCAATGGAAGTGGCAGCTCCTCCAGCAGCAGAACTGTGCTCCGGGATGGGGTCATGTGTGCTGGTGCCATTGAGTGGCCAACACCAAGCAAAACATGCCGTGTTGGTTTTCTGTCCCAGAGCAAACACAAAGCTCAATGGATTTCCAAAAGTGTAAAGGTGTAAAACTGTTTACCCTAAGTGGGAGAAGCTAGAGACAATCAAAGTCTTCAGAAAATCTGAACTCTGAACATGTACCAGATCGCTGGAGGAAGTTTAGCTATATTTTCATTCTGTGTAAATACTGTGATTGCCAGTAGAGCAACAAGAGTAAGTAATGGCGTTTTTGACAATCCCAAAAGCTTTGCCACATTTCGAAGCTCTCAGTGCAATCATGTAGAGGGGTGGCTGTAAAGCAAAAGCGAGACATAGAAAGCATCGCTCAATGCCACAACAGAAGGATGAGACTATGTAGAGGCTTGGGACCACCTGGGGCTGGCAATCCACCACACTGCACGGAGAGCTGATGTTCTGAGATAGACTGCTTGGTGGCAGGATCTCAAAGCAAAGCATGAGCGAAACCGGTGCCCATGGTACTGCTTCTAGAGCACCCTCAAATCACTCCAAAACCATTGCAGGTCAGTGTCATGTCTGCAGGGACAGATAGAGAATGGTCCAAAAGAATCTATTAACTTCACTTCTGCATGGGCTCATTTGGGCACACATCTCCTCAACAGTATGTTGTGCTTACTGTATGTCTCCTGCTACTTCCACACCACCCTGCCCAGAATCAGTACCTGCAGGTGTGTAACTGTTAACAGCAGTCAGAAATGACTGCCAGGAAGGAGAGCATTTGACTCCAAGTGTTAGGAGCTGTCATTGCGTCATCAGTGTATATTTACGCAGTTTTTGAGATACAGCAATTAATTTGTCTTTGATCGTTTTATGGGGTACAAAAGAGATCATTAAATAACAGGTAATACATAGCATGGGACTGTTCAGCTTTGAGAAGGCAGAGCACAAATACGGATTTTTCTCCACAGTTACTTCTGCCACTGCCTGAGCATGAGAGCAAAAGCAGAGCAGCTGCCCCTAAAAGCCCCTAAAAGCCCACCCCTGTCTGATAACTGAGCAGAGCTCATTTGGTGCTGCTGCAGGACTGCACAAAGGCCCAGAAACTTTCCCTGTCATATTTCAATTGCAAAAACAACCTTTCATGTGTAAAATGTCCATATGAAATAGACACTAAGGGTATGATTTTCTTTTCATTTCATATGAACCAGGAATAACTTTTAATCGGCATATTGAACTGGAGGGCAAACAGACAGAGTGGGACAATCATCTGAACCAACCCTACATCCACAAGAGCCAGAACTCAAGCCTTGCAGCAGCCTCTTCCAAAGCCCAACAAGCAACAGTTGTTGATCTCAAATACACAAGCATGAAAAAAAAAACCCGTGTTACAAACATCCTCTTCCGCACACAGGATTAGGTCTGAGCTGCTCACGGCTGCAGCTGTGTGAGACCCAAACTCATGCATTTATCTTTTTATGTCCAACACGGGAGGAACTGCTGGACTCAGTGATCCCCTGCAAACTCACCAGGGAAAGGCAGAGAGAAAAGTCCTCAAAACACACTTAAGCTCCTATAGCTGCAAGACGGAGCAAAAGGAAGGTGCTGCGCCATGGGCAAGGCAGAGGGGGGCATTTGCTGGGAGTGATGCTAGTATGAGAGCTCAGAATTCTCCTCCATCACCTTCAGGATCAAAACCTGCCCTTTGCTGTTCTTGAAGGTCACCTTATGTGATAGCACATAACCTATCAGCACCTCTAATGAAAAGGCCAGCTGCTAAAAGCTGATTTTAAGAGTACAAAGAGGTTTTAGACTTCTATTAAATAGATAAACAGACACTGATTAAAAGGAAAAAAATCAAACACCAGAGTTGACAATAATATCCTTCACCTCCTAAACAATAAGAAGTCCAACAATCACAAAGTCTGGGATGAGAGATTTTACAGTACTTAATCCAGAAGAAGGTATTTGATTTCCTCTTAACTCCTGCAGCTGCTGCACAGAATGAGGCATTTTTCAGTGTGCAGCTGAATCCAATTCAGAACACAGCAATCCCCAGGGCTGAACTTCACCAGTGGCTCACTCCCTCATGAAAGATTTCCTTAATGATAATCAGTGAGGGACTGAGCAAGAAGAGCTGTGATAATGACCTCGTGTGTGTAACAGCTGGAGCCCGATGCAGTGGGGCTGCAGGAACTCTGTGTCCAGGTGATGAACTTGCAGCATCTGCCCAGCACCCAAAATGCATTCTGCAATACCCAGCAGTGGAGTTTTGTTTGGATCACAGCAAATTGCCCACAGTGCAGGCTGATCTCCTGCCACGGGCAGGTGCCAGGGACACCCCCATTGTTGTCCCCATGCTCTCAGGCCACTGGCAGCACAATCCCAGCCCCAGATGGTAAAAACCATTGCAGCATGGCAACCCCCAGACCTCACACCCACCAATGAGGTGAAAATACAGGGCAGATTTGTTGGTTTTCCCTTAAGTGCCCTCAGGACACAGTTGCCAAGGGCAGGGGAGAAAACTGCCTTCCTCATCTGGTGTGCTTATAACTCATAAAATACTAAAAGGACATTTACGAAGCACCTGTTGCAACCATTTCATAGCTCCTTTGTAAAAGCTGTGTGTTTTCCTAAGGTTACACAAAGGGCAAAAACGTGATTCAAGAATAAAACTTCCAGGAAGGATAAGAATGAAACTTAAGCCCGTGGCAAGAGAAAGTTTCTTGCACCATTTCCTAGAGCAAAGAAACAAGAGGTGTTTGGTGAATGTTTTTTTGTGGTAAGAGCACAGTGTGTTTGTGCTGAGACCCACTGCAGGGCAGGATGGAACCTCAGGAACCCTGTGGGGAACATCCTCAGGAGCACAACCCAATGGAAACAAAGCAAGGATTAGCCAGTATGCAGAAATACTCTTTTCACGCAGGTAAAATCTATTCTTGCTTCACACTAAGTGTGGTAAAATTTGATCACAGACAAAACCAGTGTATTCCTTGCAGATTAGTCAGAGAAATGCTAATTCTTCTGTTACCCTTTCCTCATTCCCCACCACCAAGCAGAATATGCAAAGTGCCTTACTTATCTCTCTGGAGTTTCCTCCAGCTCTGGGAGTCCAAGTTAAAAACTCACCTTTATTTCAGAGTGAAAACTACACGTCTGTGTTCCTATTTCCTTTCATAAAGCAGGGAAAGCAATGTTTAATCCTCACTCAACAATGTAGTGTAGAGAAGAGTCTACTGGAAAGCAAACTGTTGCTTTGTGATGTTAATCCCTAAAAAGTCAACACACTTTCATCAGAATTGTTATATGAGGAAAATCTCTTCCTCCACCACCTGTTATGATTTACTGCTGTCCACTTGCTTTGACCTACTTCTGGAAAAAGGAATCATGCAAAAGTCAGGGAGAGCTGCAGAAGGGTGAAGAAGAAGACTGAAATCCCAGCAGCACTGATCCCGTACAGTGCACTTCTGAATAGATCTCAGTATCCCAGGACAGATGTGATCAGGGTTTGATGTCCCTGACAGTGAGGTGTGAGGCATGGCAGCGAGCTCCTTCCTGCTAACAGGAGACAGGTTCGTGTCTTGTGAAACTCTGCAAGTGATGTTTCTTGTGTAAAGCTGTTCAATATATATGAATCATATGCCTAGAAATATACACTGTGTTTTTCAGCTGCTATTTCCTAGTTCACTGTGAGTTCTCAGCAAACTGCATGACTAATTCTTAATGCTGTCTTTCTAATTAGTTGGACTTGAGGCTCACATTCTAACCTGT